AATGTGATGGCCAATCCCAATATCTGTTGGCAAAAGAAGAGCCCAAGAGTTGACAGAAGGTGGTTTTTTCTAACTGCCTTCCCTCTCAAGTCTAGCACTACTAAATTAGGGGCAGCTAGTGCAGACACCCTCAAATAGCTTTGCTCGAAATTCAAAAACAAACATACCTCGTTTCTATTTATCAAATCAACTCTGTTATTTTCAGTAATAAATGTTCCACTATTTGGTTAACGTTAAGGAAATTTCTGATCCTAACTATGATCGATCGGAAATAAGTAAAACCAGTCTAATAAGCTTAAGTCAACTCAAATACATTTTCAGTAACAAATTTGTTACTGTCGTTTATTGCTCTAGATTCTAGATTTTTAGTTGATTTTTATGATTTAAACATCTTTTTATAACAAAGAAGAAACATAGAGGAGTCAATCAGCCGGAAAAAATACGTTCTCAAACTTCGGAAAAAATTTTAGAATATTTGTCAGGGCATTTAGTTAGAGAGCGGAAGTAAATATTGAAGATGAAGATAACACATAGTAGCCTTTTCTCGCAAGATATCATACCCTGTATTTGCAGTTTTAAACATCACCGAACTGTTATTATAGTTGACTATTACTATTTTTGACTTTTTATTTATACTTTTAATTAATCATCGACTGACCCGCCGGGGAATTCCTGATATGCAGGTGGACCAGTCCGGCCCTGCACTGGGATGTCACTTTCACTTCATCTTTCCTAACACTTACTCTTCAGGATCTAATATCAGATTGTTTGAATACACCGTTCTGTACTTCGCAAGAAACGTCGTATTCACCCAGAATCACTAGTTCTAGCCAGAGAGAGACAGAGAGAATGCCATGCATTTTTCAAAAAAAGTTGTCAAAATTTTAGAGCATTTCCTTGGAATATATTATTGTGTGAAGCATTTCGCGCAAAGTTACTCAAGGGCTAGTTTTGAAGTGATAGATTATATGGGAGGCAGATAGTCAACGCCCCCCAACTTGTGGACTAATCTAATCGAATAGTGGGATTTGGCTGTAACTATTGTTACGTCTCTGTTCGTTAGTTAATTTTCCGTAAATTCGTTTCGACGAAACTTTAGCGATACAAGTCCTTTCTTAAATAAAACTGGTTTATTCTTTCCGAATACAACTTTACCGATACAC